GTGACGGCTGATAGAACGCGCAAAAATGAGAGAAAAAGAGAGAGAGAGAGAGAGAGAGAGAGAGAGAGAGAGAGAGAGAGAGAGAGGCATGGGGAAAGCTCCTGAGACTGAGATGTCGTGACAATCTCGACGGTATCGGCCGAGAAATATTAACTCGTCGTTTTGTACGAGACGAAACTGCGTGAATTTCTTCCTCGCGGCTTCTCCTCTCATCTGACCATCCCCGTCTGGCTTCCTTCGACCGTAGCCACAATCTCCCGCTTCGGGAAAGGTTCCCTTTATCGTTCACCGACTTTCAGGAAGAGGAAACCCGGAGGACGACGCGACGTCATTCGCTTGACCGCGACTGAGCGAACGAACAAGCGAACGAGCGGGGACAAATAACGCTGGATGTGACTTCACGTCCTCCGCGAACGGCCGGGGCCGCGACCGCAATCTCTTCGGGACGGATTCGTTTATCGTAGGAGATTCCATTAGCTCTGAAGAACTCGACCGCGAGTGTGAGTCGGTAGATAGATCCATTTGCGAATTTGCGGTTACAAGTTGAGAACATTTCCGGCCGAAATGTGTATGTCGTGGAAAAATTAACATATACGATTCATATCTTAATTTCCACTCATCATTGGAAAAAGTAGGCGGAGTCCCGGGTTTCGCAAGAGCTTGATTGTACGAACTGCAGTCGCGTCAAATTGTATAGAGAACAAGTCAGATCGTCAATCTGATGTGGGAATTTCACTGTGAAATTTGGGCAACATGCAAAATTTCAAAATGAAACTGAAACTGAAATTCAATTTTATGTATGATATAGATGTCCTTTCAACAACAAAAAAGTTAATTTAATTGCATAATAACTGCAAAAACTCAGTTTGTGCAACTGAATGAGGTAAAAGTACTATACCTGGACACGAATAATACTGGTATCTAACTCTGGACATTCTTATTGTTTTGGTCTTTAAATATAAATATTTAAACTTGCAGATTTAAATACGTACTCTTAAGTGCATCAAAACGACCGTTATTTTTTCTTTTGTCCAAATATTTCTTGGCACCGCGGTCGCGTGTGACGGCACGCTCATTTTTACGCGCGATCCGAGAGCGTTCAAAGCGAAACGTTCATCGACGTGAGGACGAGTGACGTCTCTCCAGGTTATTAGCGGCTAATTAGTCACTTACCCGGCACTCGGCCGCCGTCAGGGCCCACGTGAAAAGAGAGGGGAAAAAAGGGTGAAAGTAGCGGCAGGGGACGGGGCGCGGAAAACGGACGGGATGAAAAGGCGCGTGACGAGGGTGAGATGCACGGATTCATCATCATCCCTCGCGCCGGTGCTCGCCCATACGTTTATCTTTCGCGGTAAATGGGAATGACGTCGACGCGAGGGGACGACTCAATCAAGCAAAATGCCCCGAGGTTTCTCGCGTGGCGAGAAAGAGCGGAGAGAGGAGACAGGAGGAGACAGAGAAAGAGAGATAGAGAGACACAGAAAGGGCGAAAGGATGAGTGTATGCCGCGGGGTGAGAAAGAAAAAACGAGACATCTCGTTTCGTTCTCGAGACAAGAGGAAAAAGAGAGTTAGAGGGAAGGGGAAGGGTGAGAGAAGATAGGAGAGAACGCGATGTGTCTGACAGATGGAGGAGAAACACGGTGTCATGTGGCTTTTAGGGGCTTGGTCGCCTTGAAACTTCCGGTGTTTTTATTGTCCTCTTTGTCCGCCTCTATTTTCTCCCCGACCGCCGCGCTCGCTGCTTTATTTCGGTCTCGATTCACATCGGTCCGCGAAGGGAGAAAGCCCGCAGATGCAAACCACGAGCTTCGTTACGGCTATCCACTTCCCCCTTTCTTTGATTTTCGTTCTCCGACGGAGATATTTATTTTTAAATGATACCTCGTGAAGATCACGTTCCGCGAAGGGAAGGACTAAACGCTCCCACGAAAACGAGACGCCCTCCCTGAGCTAAAGTGTTTTAGCTCTACATTGACCCCTGCATTCCGTCGAACTTGAAGGATCAATGAAAAATGTCGAGGTGCAACACCACACAGAGTCTGCTATTGTCGATGCTACAAATGTATTTATTTATTATCGTTTTTTTTTCATACTATAAGTGTTTATTTCCTGTCATTTTTCTTTGCGTTGAAGCTCGAGGAAGAATTTATTCGTCAATTATTTGCTATTCGATTATTTCCATAGAATATGTGAATGTGAGAAATGAGTGAATATGTGAATATGTGAATGTGAGAGATGGTATATATGAAATATTAAATAATAAATATGGGTACATGATGGGATGAATAGCTAACAAACTTTTATCCTAATCTCTTTATGTACCTTTCCTTTTTTATTGATAATTTCGATAGGATTTAGAGATTCAAAAGGAATGAAGAAGGAGCTCTTATAAAGTTAGTTTTTTATTCGATAATGCTGTGTATCAACTGAGATCCAAATTGGAGTTCAGTGTAATAACGAGACTAAACGAGAAGTGAAGGAAGGCGTCGATAAATTGAAGATTGATCTTGCGACTTAGGAATCATTATTAGAGGCACAAATCAGCCCTTGCTACTTACATTAGATTTTAAATTCCGACTCAGATGTATCTCCTTATTCTCAGTTCGTAAAATGCTCATTAAAATCGGAAATATTCTGAATAATGAATAATGAATTGAATAAACTGAATAATTTAATACACCTAGAAATATATAATGTATCGTCGGTCTCTTCACGGAGTCCTACGCTTTTCGTCCTGACGTCCCGATGCAGCATCCTGCTTCTGATTGCTCCGGATGCTCCATCATAGCACTCACGCTCACATAGCTACGATTCGATTGGGAAAGGCGTGTTATTGAAGGCGATGCAGGCGATGAAATATTTCAAGATTCGACGGAAATGACGTCTAACTCAACGATACACTTGCTCCGCGTCGCGGTATATACGTCGCTCGTCATAAAGACTTGACGTAATTGCCTGGTTTACGTTTGATACCAGTACTAAATTAAATTACACAATCAACAGAGTCAAGTAGAATTGAGAGTAAAAATAATATGCGAGTGGAGTATCGAGATAATCGAATATTAAATAATTTTAAATATGTATTTCCGAAAGAGTCTTATATCTCTGGACCTCGAGCTATTCTAAAGGCTTTTAGCAAGAAATAGCAATAAGTAACAATCTGCACTATATAAAGTGTTACATTTTCAAGATTCTCTGTTGATTCTTCAAGTTCGATAGAACTTATGAAGTTAATGCTGCAGTCCAAAGTTTTACTTCTAGTAATTATTTTGCAATCTTATCTATATGTAAATTCCATTTTATTTGTGATGCTACTGCTGATACCCCAATTTACACCATTTCATATCGCAAGTATCATTGTTGTCATTTTACGAAGAAAAACTTTGTGTGTCTCGCAGAATTTCTCGAATTCGATACAATTAAAACACTCGCAGCTTGAAAAATCGCACGCTCTTGGAGTACATCATTCACGCGAAGCTTTCCCTCACGTCCGCAGATCACGTCGACTACTTCGCACATGCACACCCCGCGCGCTCTCTGAGGCTTTGACATTTAAATTTGACGCGGCACCCCGTGGAGGCGATTCGATTTACGTCGCGTCGACTCTTCCCATTACGCGAACGCGAAAGTAATTTAGCCGCGCTCCGTGGAACACGGGAGTTCCACGGAGCGGTGAACACCTGCGGCATCATCGTCGGGATCACCTGCGAAACACCGTATTTTCTGCACGTGTGCGGGACGCTGGGTACGCGCGCGTCTCGACCGCTCTCAAGACCGCGTATTTTCAATTAACGGCGCTGATCGCGCAAGAACGAAGAACGAGAATGAAGAAGCAGGAGGTGGACGGGAGAAAGATGGCGAGACGGGGGAAAGAGACGCGCGAGTGAATTCTTCATAGGTTGCTGCGAAACTTATTACTCGTTGAAACGCGTTTCTAGTCGCGGACCTCGGCAGCCGCGGCCGTATCTCAGAGACCGGTTTTTCCTATCAGCGGCTTTGCGCGTGTCGCACCGTCCGCGAGAACGACCCTTCTCCGTGCGTCCCGCGCCGAACGAGAGAAAGAGATCTTGTCCTTTATATCTTGTCCTATCTTGTAGAAGCGAGAACAACGTTGTACACGACGCAGATTGCAAACAGTTACATAAGAAATCAAAGTTAATCCGGAGAAGGGGTAACCTTTAAGATTAATGACCAGTAATAGACATTGAGCCCGCCCCCCTCTCCGGTATACTACTATTATTACTACTTCGCTGTACCTCGTGCAATCGAAATTCCTTACAAACTGGTTTCCGAGTCATCGAGCTCCCTCGCTAGACGCGTTTCTCTCGCAGCGGGAGAAGATAGTCAGCTTATAAGACTAACAGAGTCGGAACGCGACTAGTGAGGCTCGTACTGATGTCAATTCCGGATACCTGGATGTCTCGAGTATTACTCAGGTATTCGCGTCTTTCGAGTGACTGAAGTCCGAGTATTCAGTTATTTTAAACGTTAACTGATTATTGACTTTTTTACGCATAACACAAGTAACAGGGGGGGGGGGGCAGGGGTAAATTGCAAATTCGTAATAAAATTTTCATTAAAATATTCTATAGATTTGGTTTCGTAACGTCAACACATTATCACAAGTATTGCATTACGTACGTTTCTGCCAACTTCTCTCTTTCTCTCTCTCTCTCTTTCTCTATCTATCTATCTATCTATCTATCTCAAATTTCGACACAAACCCACAAAAATTTTCAGTTTCTTAATATTGACATTAAGTCAATAGAAATATCCACTCAATGAGTACAAGAAATTAATTGATCTTTCTAGATAATTGATTTTTATAACGGTAGCGGGTAAAAAAATGACATATATATAATAACGATTATATACGGACTCGCAATTACTCATTAGCTGAATACCACGAGTGCAAGATGATAATGACGACACTAATGAAACGCGCACAATCGCCTATCATTACCGATCGTTACTATTTGGGACGTCCTCTTTTTGTTGCAGGCGTATTAGTGGTGAATGTCACGTGGCGCGGTAAGACGTACGTTGGAACACTTCTGGACTGCACCCGACACGACTGGGCGCCGCCTAGGTTCTGCGACTCGCCGACGAGCGACCTGGACGCTCGCACGCCGAAAGGTCGCGGCAAACGGGGTCGCGCCGCCGCCAACTCTACGCCCGGCAATGACCTGAGCAACTTCACGGAAACTAGGAGTTCGGTGCACAGTAAATTGCGCAACGGTGGCAAGGGTCGTAGAGGTGCACAAGGTTCGCCAGCGGCAAGTCCGAGTCCGGCGGCGTTTGTGCCGCCGCGTCCGGACCCAGCGGCGAAACGCAAGTCTCGTGGCCCCGAAGAAGAAGAGAAGAACAAGCGGCGAGCACCGCCGCCTACTCCGCCGAGCGGCTCGCCGCCGGCGAGCCCGGTGTTGCTCGAATGTCCGGAGCCGAACTGCAGTAAGAAATACAAACACATCAACGGGCTGAAATATCACCAAAGCCACGCGCACGGTTCCGCGGACGACGACGACACGAAGGAGGGCATTACCAGTATGTCCGAGAACGATGAGAGCAATATCGAAGCGCCAAGTCCGGCCACACCGGTGAAATCACCGGCGGACAAGCCGGAGGGCACTCCGGTGCGAGCAGCGAGTCCACCGGCGACGGGTTTGCCGCCTGAAACTCCACCACCACCTCCCAGAGTACCGTCACCGAGTATAGAACCTCCTACGCCCGTTGTGCTCGCGGACAAGAGCATCGTGAAGCCGGGTGTGCTAAGGTTCGGCCAAGACGACTTGCCAGCGCCCAACCCTGTGGCGCCGCCTTCGTCGAGGCAAGCTTCGGTGCAACAGCAGTCGTTGCAGCAGCAGCAGCAGCAGCAGCAACAACAGCAGCAACAGCAACAACAGCAGCAGCAACAGAGCCAGTCGTCGTTAAGCTCGTCAAACCCGCCACAGAGTCCGAGTCCGCACACCAGTCAGTCCCCGAGGCCTATACCTTCGCCACACCCGAGCACAAATATCCCTCAACCCATCAATATACCGCAACCGCCGCAGCCTTCGCAAGTGCAGCAGCATCAGCCGCAAAATCCGCTGCTGCAGCAAGCGCAACAGTCGCTGCAGGTGAGCCAAGCGCCGCAGCAACTGCAACCCAGTCCACAGCAGCAGCAACCGCAATCGTTGGTACAACAGCAATTGCCACCAGCGCATCAGCTGCAGCCGATGCAGCATCCCTTGTCGGCTCAATTGGGTCAGCCGACGCAGGCGCATGTGGTGCAGCAGTCCGGATTGCAGCAGCAGCAGCAGCAGCAGCAGCAGCAACAGCAAGCGAGTCTGCAGAGTATAGCGAGTCAACATCCGGGTTTACAGAGTCTCGCGAGTCAGGTGTCGCAGCAAGCGAGCTTACAAGCGGCGCCGCCACCGCCGGGCCACCCGGGTCAAGCTGTGCAGTCGCATTTGCAACAGTACCAGAGCGTGTCGTTGCATACAGCAAAAATGCCGCAGTTCAAGGTGAAGCCTACCGCGGCACTTATGCCGGAGCAAGACAAGAGCAAAAACGACGTGCGCACGCCGAAGCCGCAGGGATACAAGAAGAAGTCACGGAAATCACCCGGCGGCAGTCCGCATCCGTCGCCGTTGGAGGCGCCTATCGTCGACTCTGCGCGCGACGACGTCCAGAGTCCAGCTTACTCGGACATCTCGGACGACGCCGCGCCGGTGCTCGAGGCCGAGTCGGCCGACAAGTCGAAACAGAGTCAGGACAAGGACAACAAGACGAGTGCGCCTACGCACCTACCCGCCCACTTCAGTATGTATCCATATTACAGTCAGCCACCCTACTTGGTGCCCACCGTGCAGGACAGCAAACCGGTGGTCGATCAGAAGCCGAGCGACCTCACGCCCAAGCAAGAGATCAAGCCGCTCAATATACCACAGATGCCTTCGATGGCGAGCCTACAGAGCGTCGTGTCGGAAAAGGAAAAGAAGGAGATGAGCCAGCCGGTGCCGCAGCCGCAGCAACAGCCGCATTATTACAGCGGCTACGGCGGCTACATGCCACCGGGCTATCCGTACCAGCCACCACAGCCGGTATCGCAACAACAGCAACAGCAACAACAACAGAGTCAACAGTCGCAGGAGCCAGAGCCGCATGAGCAGAAGACAAAGATTAAGCAAGAACCACAGCCGCAACCGAGTCTAAAGGACAAACAGCACGAGAACCATCAGATTCTCAAGGAAAGCCTCGACCTGAAGAACCAGATGGGCACGTACCACGTGTACCACGGCTCGCAGAGTCAACGAGGTGGCCCACCGCCGCCGCCCGGACCTGTACAAGACGACAGGAGGTACTACATGTATCCGGAGCAGAGGCGGAAAGACGACTCGAACAAGCAGAACCAACAGCCGAAGGCACCACCGCCTAGCCCGAAGCACCAGCCGAAGCAGGAGAAACCACAGGATCTCGGCAAAAGCGAAGACTCCAAGAGCAAGCAAGAGGGTGTGAAGCCCACGATGGAGACGCAGGGACCGCCGCCGCCGCCTACCTCGCAGTACGCTTACATCCATCCTACCTACATGCAGGCGCAACACTATGGCGCTTTGCCGTTCGACCCAGGTCATCCGGTGTATCGTGGCCTCAGTCCTATGATAATGCCCGCGCCCTACTCGGGCGGCCCCTACCTCCACCAACTACCCAGGTATCACGCGCCGGAGGACCTCAGTCGACCACCTGGCGGCAAGGCGTTGGAGTTGCTCCAGCATCATGCGAATCAGTATTATTCGGCGCACAAGATACACGAGCTTCAGGAACGCGCGCTCAAATCACCTACGCCCAAGACGTCCGCCGCGTCTTCCAGTCCATCTTCGGCGGGTCCCACGCCAGCTCGGCCACCTAGTGGTCCACCGACGTCGGTAGCGGGTCCAGGTCCACCGCCGGGACAAGGACAACCGCCGTCTGGCAAGCAACAGGGACAGCCGGGTGGTCAACAACAGCCACAGGGCGCGGTGGATGCCAGCAGTGGGAAGGATAATAGGTCACCCCCGCCGCAACGGCACGTGCACACGCATCATCACACCCACGTGGGCTTGGGTTATCCCTTGCTCACGGGACAATACCCCGCCCCCTACGGAGGTAAGCCTCTCGTCAGACCCTGACAGTAAGGCGACCCGCGGGACCCAGCAAAGCGAGCGAATTAGCGAGCGAGAGAGAAAGAAAGAGAGAGCGAGAGCCGTGTGTGTAGCGTGAAGAGTGTACGCGGGTTACGTGACGCGTTTTACGCTTGCGTTGGTCAGAACGCGAAACTATCGCCACCTTCGCTGCCATCGACGTGCTCTTGTGTGAACTCTAACGCTCGACGACGCTGTGAAAAACGTTTCCTTTGCGACCGACAGATCCCGAGCGGCGGGTTAACGCGAAACGAGACATGCGAAGCACCGCGGGTGTACGCGATCTTACGATCGACTGTCGGAATCCGCGCGTTGTTCTCCGCGAATAGTGTGCAACACTGACGTCTACTTTGTAGGATCGTGTGTTTGTAACCGAGAAGAAAGAGAGAGAAAGAGGGATGTTTGGAAGCGCGTGCTTCTGATCGCCTCGACACTGCGAACATTCGTTACGTCCGTCACGATCGGCTTGTATTCGTAAGTTTTTATCAAATCGGACTGTCCGGGCCTCCCTCCGATTCCGGAGCGGATGCCGTCCGGAGAACGTCGTTCGTAAACCAGTCGGCCTCTAGAGAATGCGCTTTTTCAAGTAATCGACACGATCGCTCGTTCCTTACGACACGTAACGTACGTTCGTCGTGTTGTCCACGTGTTCCCCCGATGATTCGAGGTCGAATTGAACGCGACGCGAGAAAGATGAGAGGAAAAGACAGATAGAGAGAGAGAGAGAGAGAGAGAGAGAGAGAGAGAGAGAGAGAGAGAGAGAAAGAGAGAGAGACGACTTCGATGACGAACGACGAAACGGTGAACCGTTTTTAGTTTCTCGCTGTCGAAACCGGACGCAATCGTCCGACAAAACGGGTAAAACTCGGCCAGGTATTAATTAAGGGCCCGAGTATCTAATCGACGTACACCATATTGGTGCATATGAGATGAAGGGAAAATTAAGAAAAAAAATAAAGAGGATACACGCGATGAATCCCGATGAGATGAATATGCGACAAAAGGGGACCGCGCGCGCGGCAGGAGCTCTCTCTCCGTTCGAGAGTCGAACCGCTCGTCGAGTCTCCTCTCCGAGGTACTATTTTATTACCAGACCAATAAGAGAAAAAGAGAGAGACAGAGAAAAAGCGAGAGAGAGAAAGAGAGAGAGGGGGAAAGAAAGAGAGCGAGAAAGAAAAAGAGGGAGAGAAAGCGCGCGAGAAAGAAAGGGAGAGAGAAACGCGTTTCTTTCTTTTTTCGATTGTTCCCTCCTTCTTTTTTGATACAAAAGAGAAGAGCTAAAGAAAACTCAAGAATCGATCGAAAAACCTTCTTCTAATTGTAAGGGACCGTTGTTCTACGCCGTGGGTCCTGTTTTTTTTCTCGAGGATCGGGGCCCGCGCGGTACGTGTAAATAATGAAATTACCTTCGACTGTACATTCTATGCGGAGAACGAGCGATGCGCCGCTCGTTCGCGCCTTAGCGTCGCATTTTATCATTATTTTTCCCCTTTTTTCTTTTTTTTTTTTTTTTTTTTTTTTTTTTTTTAATTAAACACGTGTACATATGAGCAGACGCTCTCTCGCGCCGCGCGCTCTCTCGCCGCCGTCCATGACGGGGATATCATCCCCATCCCTACTCTAATGTTTCTCCAGAAGCGTCGAGAACTCGAAGTCGAAATTCGTTTCGCGATCTCGATTCGCGTCACGAGATTCTCGTCCGTGATCCGCCAAGTTGAGATTGTTCGGCTGCATCGTGTTCTCGGCGTGACGCTCCCCGTCACGGCAGCCGGAAGAGAGCACGCGCCGCCTGCGACACGTCTCTCGTGTGTGTACACCATATACATATATACATATTGTACGAGTCTCGTAGCGACGAACTGAATATTTTGGAAATATTGGAGTATAAGTGCGACCGTGTAGATTAGCCATGTAAGCTGTGTACCGCAAGATTAGTGTACGAAGGCGTGTAGGGATTAGACGTATAGTTCAGACTGTGATAATTATTTATCGTGCTTCTTTCCGGGACGGGGGAAAAAGGAAAAGGATTCACGGGACTTTTACGGGCGGGTGAGAGACCGTCGCGCGTCCAATCACGCTTGCGGACGAACACACACTGACGCGCGGTGAATATCTAATAACGACGACGATGACGACGACCTCATCGAGCTTGCTATCGATATCTCGATGCCGGTGTCGGTATTAATTAGGGCTCCCAACCAAGTATTCGGTAATGTCTGTTTAGATGAATATCCGGGAAGTCGGCTCCCCGATCCGAAAACCCAGAAATCAGCCTTGATCCGATCCGGATGATCTGGATAATCCGAGTTATCTGAATTCAGACTCGAATGAGATCCGGATCCGATCAAGTCAGGTCGTGTAATTAAATTGCTGTTGCAAAAATACTGATTTCTTGATCGTCAAATTGTCGAGATCCGATCAAGTCGGGTTATGTAATTAAATTGCTGTTGCAAAAATATTGATTTCTTGATCGTCAAATTGTCAAGAGGGGCATCCCGGTTGCCGCGAACCTGTTTGATTGCATTCGCTGCGACCTCAAATTCGGATTCGTATCCGGATCAAGAAGCGTCATATTTATTCGTTATCCGAGCAAGCGGATATCCGGGTAATGTTAGATATGAACGAACTCTGAAGCCCTGATATTAATATCGATTGTGGCATACGTGGGGAGAGTGCAGTTCGTAATGAAACGCTGCAAATTAAAAAGTCCATGCGCCGAGGACAAAAAAGGGAAGAGTGGAGAGGATATATCGATTTGAAAGGGAGAACAAGAGGTATTTTTGTCATTTTAACGATATCAGTTAATGGAACAAAGCTTGCAACGACCCGACGACTCGAGCGAGGTCGATAGTAACAATAATAATTTGACATTTAGGAGAGTTTGTTGTTTGAGATAGAGCAACAAATCTGGACAATTCTGCATCTATACTTTCAAATATATGGAGAGACAAAACGTTTTCTCTTCCCGAATTTCGGCGCACGGATCTTTTTCATTTGCAGTACGTATCCTATCCTCGATAACGCGACGCGTATTATTCGCGTGTTCGAGCGCACACACGTGTATCCTTCGTTAGACGTCGTTAGTCTTCCACGAGAAAAAGCTTCTTTTGCAACAATAAAACAAAACAGCAAGTCAAGACTTCGTAGTTTCCCAATGCGATTTTTACGTTCAGTCGCGCGCGCGAGCGCTACGATTTCCGTTACGAGAGTGTCGATTGCGACTTATAAAAAAGAAAAGAGAGAGAGAGAAACACGAGAAAAGCGTCGTGCTTTTACTCTATACAGACGCGGACGCTCTTTCACAGTCTCCGAGATATCCTCGATACGCCGCCCTTAGATGTTAAAGAAAGTACAAACAAGTCGCGGAGTTGACTAATTGCTTCTCCGGAGGACGATATTTTTCCTCGTCTTTCCTCCGGGTCGCTTTTTTCTCCTTTCATAGCTCAAAGATCGAAATACAAAGTTGCACTCGTAGGTAATAACAACGGAAATACGATGCGAATACGTTCCTCGATATTCTCACGATCATCACTTATTCTCTGATTTCCTTTGCGCTCGAAAGCTCCAAGTACAAAGCATCTCTGTTAAGCGAACATCCCCGATACAAAAAAAAAAAAAAAAAACGAAATAAGAACTACATCGGAATTAAGTGTTACTTCAATACTGTATTCCTGATTCTAGGACTCGAGCAGTTTAGCAGGAATTTACTTTCGAAAATGGAATTGTTAAGTTACTGGTAAGTTAGCTATTCAATTTTTCGCGTTGGAGATGATGCTTGTCTTAACAGAGATATATAAATTCGCAGAGAAAGAACGGAGTCGGAGCTTCCGGCTCCATTTTCCCACATTGAGGAAAGAAGTGTTTGATATTTGTCGATTGCTCTAGCCTTGATATCTTTATCAGTTTCTAATTTTCGATCTCTCTCTCTCTCTCTTTCTTTCTCTCTCGTTTCACTCACATATCCTCGCATTAACGTCTGTAGAGGACCTTCGTGCGAGGAAGTCGCGACGCGCTCTCGTATGCGGAAAGCGCGCCTGCCAATGAGCGAATTTAATCAACCAAGTGTATCTTACGGAGCCAACACTGCCAGGACTTTCGCGTGAACGAGGAAGTCCGACCACGCGTTAACGTAGGGAATGCATTACAGGCGCGAAATCATTGACAGGAGAAAACAAAGGGCGAATGAAAGAGGATGAGTGAGTGAGTGAGCGAAAGATGAGAAAGAGTGTGTGAGAGGAAAAAAGAGAGAGAGAGAGCGAGTGAAAGAAAGGAGGGAGAAAGAAAGAAAGAAAAACGGTCGCTTAGGTGCACGCCACTTTATGCTTTCCCCATCACTTCTCACACACATATCCGTCGTCATTTTTCCTCGTAGTGATGGAAGTAGCTCGGTGTTTATAGCTATCTCGAAAGAAAATATACGGGTTTCCTAGATTGCAGCTCGAGAACGATGCGTTTCCCGAAGGACACTAGCGCGTTAACGATCGTCTCGAAGATTCCTTCCTACCTTCGCTCGTCGGTATGCGATCTTTTGTGAATCCGTGAAAGAAGGAGAAAAGATAAATAAGACCTGCTCGTTTCTTATCGTTGAATTCGTAGAGAGAATCGAATCGTCGGAAAACTAGGCGCTTTTCTTCCGAGATAAAATTTCGAAGGCCCGATCGACCTACATCTAAGTCGGAATGGTGCAGTGACGACAAGATGAGTGAAACAGATTCGATCGAAATCGACAATCATCGAGAAATTTGAAGGGTTAAATTTCGTTGGTGGATACACGAAGATGGAGCAAAGTATTCTTGCATCTTCGATTCGAGAAGCATCGTTCGCTGTGTCATGCACGTGTCAACCTTTTGAGAGTACACGCAGTTTGCATTTTTCCCTCCAAAAAAAAAAAACCATTTATAAGGGATCCTGTTCATCAAGGATCATTAAATGATGGTGTTGCTCTTCTTGGTGTTTTAGTGACGCTCTTCTTGGTGTTTTGGTGACGCTCTTCTTGGTGTTTTAGTGACGCTCTTCTTGGTGTTGAAATTAGGAGTAGAGAGAGACATTTCGATGACTTTTATCGTCGTTGATCGTAAGAAACTACAAGTTGAATCGCATCATTTCTTTTTCGTTTTTCGCTAAGTACATGGAGCACTAAATATCCAAGCAGCGTGTTAAATACGTGCGACATTAACTCGCTCAATCATTTAAATCTACGTCATTTCCGCACTTGGCACCGGCGCTAAGTGCGCGGCCAGTCGGCCAGGTTCAAGTTTCACCGAGATAGTGTATCGTGTCACGCGTGTGACGCGAAGGAAACTTTAGATACAGATAACAATTTCGCGCCGCTCGCGCGGCGCAGGATGCCGCAGTAATTCGTCTCAAAGGGTTGACTAGTTCACAAACTCTACCCACAACCTGCTCGCGGCTTTGGGGGACGCTTAAAAATACCGTCGCGCAACTTTCAACCAATCAATAAAGGTAGAAAAGTTCCGATACTCCGCGTGTAGCTCGTAGCCTCAAGAGGGGAATCGAACGTAGAGTTATACACACAGCGAGCCGTATAAAGACTAGCTTCGCCGAGGCGACAAAGCAGACTGCATTGAAAGGCAAATTTTAAGACTGAACCTACAACGAACCGAATCATTTTCTAACTCTCGCGAATTCGGAAGGGAATTCGGTCAGCCGTGCGTGCATGATGTGCGTGTATATGACGAGAGGAAATCGCCTCGGTAGTGACGTACGAAAAATCCTCGAGAGACCGAGCGAGTTGACGAGAAAATCGCTCTCCGAATCCTTGGGGCTACGAGGACATCGGAGTCCGTCGATTTTTTTTCGGGTGCCGCGGGTCGCCATCGTTTGAACAACCACAACCGCAACTACTACTACTACTACTACTACAACTACAACAACAACAAGAACCGCCGGAAAAAAAAACAACCGCGCGTACTAGGCGCCTCAGATCGAATGACGAAACATTAATGGCCTGCTGTCTCTCTCTATGTGTGTTGCAGCGGCAGTGCTGGCGAGTCAGCAGGCCGCCGCGGTAGCCGCCTCGGTGATCTCGCCATTCCCGCCCAAGTGACCCGCGGCCCCCGCTCCCGTCATGCCCGGCGGAACCGCCGGGGGCAACTCCGCACAAGCTCACCACACGCATCCGGCGGCGGCGAGTGGCGCGCCCGGTGCGGGACACCCGCACGGCACCGCCGCCGGCGGCGGCAGGCAGCCATAGGAGACCCTAGGAGAGACCAGTTGGCATCCGGTTGGATCCCGATCGATCTGCGGGCGAGCTAACGAGCCTAGCTAACGAGCGACCGAGTGAGTCAGCTAACGCCGCTGGTGCAGCTGATACGCAGAGGTGCACGAGCACGTGCTCCACGTTGTTGTCACGCTAACTCCTTCAAGATTAGGACCAAGATGTAGCCGCCAAAGAGGCTGGCGTGTTCCCTACGTGATGATAAGAACGCGCACCGTAAGAATTCGCTTTGTTGAATACCAATCGAAGTTGGGATCTTGGAAGAGAGAGAAAGAAATAAATAGAGAGAGAGAGAGAAAGAGAGAGAGAGAGAGAGAGAGAAGAAAGAATTAGGATAACGAAAGGATTACACACGATAATGGATATTATCCATCTCCATTATCCATTATCATATTACTCCTCCCTTTGGCAACGAGTAACGAGAAAGTTATCGGCAACAAGTTATTGGGAACCGGAGGAAACTGAAGAGAAAGACCACCGAGGCGACAAAAGGTGTTTAGGCGTATTGTGTTGTTGTTCGTTTTATCGACGACACGTGGTAATAGGGAAGTACCGGTGGTAGGCTTCTGAAGACGTTAACCAGGACTTTGGAGTATCGTTAGACAGGCTGTTCCACGTGATATTTCAACCGAATTCCTCCACTGAGACTGACCGCGGTCAAGCGTAGAATGTAGTCGAGGTGTTAGGGTGCGATGCGCGATGTCATTCGCTTCTCCAACGATAAGCTCTTTCGAGGCGTTCAGCTGAGGTCATCCGTCTTCGACGACGGTAGGAAGTAGCGACACGTCGCTTGGGATGTAAAACGATCTCGTGATCAGGGCGTTGTGTGTTTCGCGCTGTGTTATCCATGTCCACCGCAAGAGTTAAGCCAAACTAGGGGACGGATTTCGAACACGTTGATCTTCAAGACCAGTAGAGTCGCGACCACTTTCTTGATGATTATCAAGGAAGGAGGGTTTGGAAGTGAAGTCAAGCGAACTCACGAGGACCCTGCGATTTTTTACATCTCGATGCAACTATCGATATGAATCGATGAGAAGCGACATACCGTACACTGAGTCCGCTAGATAAATTCGATTTTTCTGAGGGAACGATAAGAGACTGAACCTGACCTGACGCACAAACACGATATCCATTCGCGGATAGAAAAAGGAAGCGAGAAAGAGAGAGAAAAACGACATTCATCTGTCGTCGGGCGAATCGATTGTGGTAGGAAACTTCGACGAGATCGTTAACTCGCGATCGTTAACTCGCGATGAGCCTTTGACGAGACGAATGAAGACGTATCGATGTTCGCGCGATGAGAGAACGATCACGGAAATATCCTGGCAATCGCAGGATCGCGGCCTCTCTCCAGCGGTTCGTTTCTCCTCTCCAAACGCGACTCACCGCCGAGCGTCGCGACGCCGCCACCTTCGCCCGCCTCCCGTTGTCCCGGATCATCGCGGATCCCACGTGGCGGTTCGCGATCCTCGCGCAGGCGAGCGCGCCAGCTCGCTGGACATCTCCTCTATGTGTACATAGTGTATATTTCGAGGGACACGTGCCGCGTAGTGTACAGATGACGCCTTCGGCTTAGCGTTAAGGACGGCGCGACTCGGCCGCTCGACTCCGACTCTGAAGGCTGAAGCCTCTCTCATGATCATCCCGACGAGAAGGAACGATCCGTCTCGTGAAATGGTCCGTTTTCTCCTCGCGTTTCCAGCCTCACGCGATCAAGAATCCAGCAGCTCACTGAGCTGACCGACTCGAGACTGCCGTTGGACCACGGTGTCGTGGTCCAACGGCACTCGAAGCGAGTTATCTCCGCGAGATGAGCGTCACAGCGATGACTTGATCCCGGGAAGAGGAACGCGACCCATCTCGCGAGACGAGCGTCTCCGAGCGAGCGGAATTGAGCGAGTGTGTCGCTTTGTTCCGATGTGCAGTCGAACCGTCGGAAATCCACATCAGTGACTAGAACCAACTTCCCACTGACCTGATCTAGTTCGCAAATAACGAACAAGAGTTTTCAGGATGCTCGACAACGCAATTTTTTCTTGTTCTAGCATCTAGTCCTAGATAGGCGCTGTCTGCATAGAACTATATCTCAGAAACGAGTAAAAAATTGTCGTTGCTTTATCAAAGGTGTTTTTAAATTGACAAAATTAAAAACCTTCATCTGAGGCTTGAAACGCGGATCTCCGATAGTGTCAGATCGGTCAGATTATGGGTTTTCCGCGGGTCTTTTACACACCAGGACAAGATGCGAGACACGTGCGACGACGGTCGTGAGGAGCAAGCGTCTCGTTAGACTGAATCGCGCGAGGACGTCGCCCGCCAAACGCGCGTCCTCGCGTCCACACGGGGCCGCGCTCGCACGGCGGAAAGGGAAGTGGAACAACGTGAAAATTTCATGCGTGCCTAGGTGCGAACGCGGCTTCGCCCCCAACTTTCAGACTCGAGTGTGTGTGTGTGTGTGCGCGCGCGCGCGCGCGCGTGTGTGTGTGTGTGTGTGTGTGTGTGTGTGTGTGTGTGTGTGTGTGTGTGTGTGCGCATATACATATATATATAATATATATATTGTATTATATATATTGTGTATATATATATATATATATATATATATATATATATATATATATATATATTGTATTATATATATTGTATATATATATATATATATATATGTATATATGTATGTATGTATGTATATATGTATGTATGTATGTATATATCAAAGCAAGGTAGCGCTTCTATCGAGCGTTAGAAGCTTAGAAATGAGCGAGTGTATACAGGATGTTCTAGAACAATCTATAAGACTCTCGTGAGAACGTAAAGCGGGTCGAGGTGAACATAAAAGTTCTATACCGTTTTGTGATATTCATAGTAACTGAGAAATTAATTGCGAAAGATTAAGCGTGTGCTGAATGGTAGAGAACGGAGCGCTCGAGCCGGACCTAGTAATATAGCACGCAAATGCCTGTACTTAGCCAGCGGGCTCAAAATCGCATCACTGGATATAAACACAGACAGAAGCGCGATGTTCTTCCACTCACCGCACACTCGAGTATTCCTCCTCGAACCATTTAACGCGCGTTTTTCTTGAATCTTTTACTATTAATTTTTCGATTATTATGGCGAATATCGCAAAACGATGTAGGACTTTTATGTTCACCTCGACCCTCTCTGCGTTCTCACGAGTGCTTCGTAGATTGTCCTGGGACACCCTGTACACGTGTGCGTGCGTGTAAAGGAGGAATATAGCGATCGCAGTACATGAGATGAGAGAACGCGCGCACGCACGCGTAGTGAATCGCGTGCGTCGACGACTGCCTTGTACAAGCGAAATGCGTGTATGTATGTGTGTGGGTGCGTGTGCGCAAAATCCTTGTCGGTGTATTTTACTGTAAAAAAAGCTATATATAAATATACATATTGTAAGAATTGCGCGAGCGCAAACTTCGATTTTTGTAGAGAAATTGTATAACTCGCTGATAACTTATCTCTTAGGGGAACGAGGAGTTTTTGATTGCTCGTGTCTCGATCGATCGCTAATGCCGGTAACGTGGCTAAAAGAAAAATGAAAAAGAGAGCTCGTCCTTACGTGGCATGCACGGTTACAAGCAAGCGAGTCGAGAGGACGGCACAAAAAAATGAAATGAGAGAAAGGGAGAAAAAGAGAGAGAGACGACGCGTAACGCGATGATTCTAAATAATTAAGTGGCGTTAAGTAACTGTAAATTCGACGCTAGAATGCTATTTGTTTATTAAAATAATGGTAGCCAGCAATGTGCGAAAGTAGAAGGGTTATAAAGAGCGGCAGGGGGGAAGGGGCAGGGGGTAAAATTTAGAGGGTGGGTAAGTAGGAAGAGCGAGACGTACAATTATGTATGCGTATGTGACTATATATATAAAAATATATATATATATATATATGTATGTATAAACTACACAATGTTTATTCAGTAACGAGACTATTGTCATCCTTTTTATTACTTATTGATTATTAATTATATTATTTTATTACTATCATCGGTGTGACATAGTGAAGTGTCAAAAACGATCAGTGAGAGAAAGAGCGAGGGAAAGATTCTGTAAATTCTCTATCGCGGGTAGCGTTCACAAATACCAAATCAAAAGAGGATGGGAACGATCGATAATACGTTTCACAGCGGTGTGCAAAACATATTTAATAGAAGGAAGAAAGAAAGAGATAAAATGACGCAATATATTCATTTTGTTGAGCCGTAAAACGCAACCATGATAGAGACGGGCGCGCACTTGCTGAATCGAGAAAGTGTGCGCACGAGTGTGTATGTGTATGTGTGTATGTGACGAGAGAGAAAGAGAGAGAATGAAAGAAATAAAAATTGATCGCCTCAGTTTTAGTGGGGCGTCCAGCGGACAAAGGGGTGGGTTTTAAAAGAAATAAATGCCGGTGCTGTGCTGTGATTTTTGTAAAAAAGAAAAAGCAAATAAAAAGAGAGGAGGGACCGACCGAAAGGCACGAGAGGCCGATCCTACGGGATCTTCGTGAACACAAATAAAAACATAAAACGAAAAGAAAGAAAAGAAGAAAGAAACACGCAGTGAGATAGCCTGAGTACCTGGACCCTGCCCCGCGTCTGCCTCCGTGAGTGGAGATGCAAAAGAAAGAAAGGAAGAAAAAAAAAAGATAAGCGAGGGAGTAGCGAAGAATGAGAATGAACACGAAAAAGAAAGAGCAAGAGGGAGTGCGCCGCGTCGTTATACTCGATTGTACAGGCTGTAAAATGTATTCTCGCTTTTAACAAGGACGATAAAAGGAATTTTAATATAGATCGTTAATCGCTAATTAGGAAATATATAAAAGGTGAGAGAACGAGAGGAAAAGGAAGAGAGAGAAAGAGAGTTGTCGTCGTCGTCGTCTCCGAATCGCAGCCCTCGCAGTGAGAGAGCCTTTTAATTGTACCTACACACGAATTGCACGTTACCGGAAAGACGGGGTGCAGTTTTCGCGTTAAAGTAGATGAGGACTGCCCACCCCCTACATTCCCCCTGCCCCCTCCGATCCCGCTCATTTCACAGGAGTGAGAATTCTCCTTGGAACACGCGACTCGCCCATATGTAATAGGGAACGAATGTAATTAGCAATTGGAGACAACCTCCGTGTCTGAGAATACGACACTGTAGGGAGTATTACATATATTTGCCACGGCATAATAGATCGCGAGAAATGAGACAGAGAGAGGAAGAGAAAGAAAGAAAGAAAGAAAGAGAGAGAGAGGGAGAGGGAGAGAGTGAATAGCTCGGATATGTGTGCATGTGCGTGCGTGCGAGAGAGTCTATATAAGTGCGTGAGAGAAAGAAACAGAAAAACGTAAGTAAGAGCGAATGATAAACGATACGAAGAGAACTGAGACATAACATAATAAAACAAGGACCCGTATATATATATATAAAAAAAATATATATATATATATATTCTCGTCTCCTTTTTTTTAGAATGATAAAAATAGTGAGTCGTTACGCTTTATATATTATACATTTCGAATATATGAATATACGAGTAAAACATAACGTACGGAAGCAGATACAGAAGAAAAAAAACATGCAGGCATCTTGTCGTTAAATTGTAAGATATTGTGTTCAAACTCCAGAATGTACTCTGATCCCCTCTTCCTCAGACTACTACATATTAAATATATTGTGCACTATGCTCCAACTTGTCCATACAAATAAATATATTGAAAAATCTCAAAAACGCCTGCCTTTATTATTTTCCCGCAATTCGAACGCCTATCGTTTGTTCTTTACGCGAAGAAAGATTTATATCACAAAAATTCTGGAGTTTAATAAATATTGAACATTATAAAAATTTCGATTAATTAAAATTTCGTATCAAACCTCTCCGGCAGCATTTTCATATTCGGCATTCGGTGAAAATGAACTGACGGTGAAAATGACTGAATAAAAATAAAATATAATACGATAATAATAAAAATGAATTGACGATAATAAAAATAAATACTATTTCTTCTCCAGTGTAGAAATTATAAACTTAGGATAAGAATAGACCGAGCCAAAACGCAAGACCGGAAGATTATGAAGAAAGAAACAGAAAACGAAAGACGTATTTCTCTCTTGCTCTTATCGCGTGAATTAGAAAGAGATATGGCTTCCGTCTTCCGTCTCTTTCTATCTCTTTCTATCTAATTTTCACTTGTTAAAATTTTGGACACGCTCCATCTGTTCCTATTATGTCTGTGGTAAAAATCAAGAGTATATATGTACGTAGAATACTTCTTTTATTAAAAGAAATCTTAAACATCTTGGAAGCATCCAGAATTCGTTATTTCGCGAAACATTAATAAGACACACAGAATATCAAAACTATATAGGAATGCAATGTACTGTAAAACTTTCGAAATAAAACGGTTATCTGACTCAGTTTCAGCTTGTTTTACTAAATCTTTCGTAATATTAAAATTTCTTACCTCGAGAGCGCGTAAAAAAATCGAGTATTCATGTTTGGCGCTACTTTATAAGGAGAATGCGGAGGAGCTTTATTTTCGTATTTGTGATGCTGAAAATTGACGATTGTACCTGCACAAACTATTTGGCCGATTTTCTAATACTACTGTGATTAAAATGCGACATACTCTTACCATTATTCAGCGATGTAGTTATCAGGCCGAGGATGAAAAGTAAGAGCTCACGTTCGATAGAACCCGCCAAGTTCGCCATGTTTGGAAAAAGGATGCGTCATATGAAGTACAGGTGCATCATGGTGTAGCTATAAAGTACAGATTTATCTGCTCCTTGCGCCGTACTGTTTTCTCTCTAGGTTATGTTTGGTGGTATTCGCAATGCGATACGCCGCAAGCGCGTCTTCAATGCTGACAAAAGAAACGACTATTTAGTAAACACGTTAGAAATTTGTTAATCGTTTAAAAGCCTTTAGAAAATAATACAAGACTTAATAGTATTTGTGTTTGTTCAGTTACAAAGCTGTTTTTCTACTAAACACATTCAATGTTTACTAACACACACCAGTATTCTATATCTTATGATTATTCATCCATTTTTGCAGGAAATTTTACAAACAATTTCCATCAAATTTATGAACAGAGCTTATAAAAGATAATTTAAATTATGGATGAGATCGAATATAAATTAAAATCACAAGATCCTACTTTAATATCACATGTAAGTAGTTTTATAAAAATCGACAATACATTTCATAGTAGCTAAAAATTATTAGTAAATTATTAATTATTAATGTTATTTAATTGTTTCTCTTTACAGGCGATATCCAAGCTTGTTCAGATAATCATAGAAAAGTCAAAGCTAGAAAAGGATATTGCAAAAGTAAATTGATTTTTGCCTCTTCTGACAAATAGGATGCTTATTTCATTGGTTTTTATATACTGCTTTTTGTAGATATCAGAATTTCAAATACTCACTTTAAAGTGCAAGAGTGATGACTCTGTAGTCAGTACATCAGCCTGTCAAGCATTGATTATATTTGTTGAAGCTGGATTATACACTTCTAAGTCTGCGATAGCAACTTTCTTAAGTGTGTGTTCTTCAACGTATGTACATATGTATTAAATGAAATAATTATAAATAATATACATTTCTGCAAATACCTTTCGACAAATTTTATGTTGTTTGATTTTATGTTGTTTGATTTTACAGCAATTATGAATCAATCACTGTAGCTGTGAGTGAGCTGTTAATGTTGGACTACAAGATGCACAATCAGCCCAGTGAATATAATCTTGAAGCATCTACTCAGCATCCATTTATTACAATCTTGAATCAGGAAAAGTATAGTTGGAGAGCAGTGCTGATTCAAATGAAGCAAATAATGCATCATAATGATAACGAGTATATGTCATCACTGATATAATATACATATATTGCAAAATAATACACATAGAGAATCTCATAAATTATCATTATGAAAAACTTAAGAATAGATAGATAAAGAAATGTATAATCTATTTTGTTGACTTTTTTACTTAAATTACAAAAATTAACTTTCTGATAATTAAAGTTAAATTTTTACCTGTTTGGATTTCAGACTCGTGGAGCTCTTGCGGCCTGTATTCCTGTATATACTATGCAATCCTTCTACAGATTTGGACGACGGCTTTAAACAACAAGCATGGCAACTTGTGATCGAAACTAGTGACGCTTCCAATTTAAAAGTAGAGATTTTACTCTGGCTGTGCGTTAATCAAACACACATTTGTATCGATATGAATTGTAGAGTGCTCGAGCTTGCAGAGAGATCATTGCTAAAGAAAGATATCAAATATTGTACAGCACTGGTGCCTCTGATCACGTCTTTGACGATCAATTTCTTGGAGTATGGTTATCATCCGGCGCAAAATTTGTCTATGATACTTGATTTAATCGAGCAGTGTTGTGACGACTATATTGGAGACATCATGATTATTTTAATGGCAGAAATTATTTTAATATGTCCAGCCACTTATTTGTCGAAAGTTTTTAATATATGTGAGTATATATACCGTACGATATGCATAAATAATGTGATAAAATTCTGCGTTTTCCTATGTAAAAATTGCATAAAATTCTGTGGGACTTAATTTCGTATAATCGTAGGTAGAGTTATCATGGACAAGATGCCGTGCAACGTTATATTACTACACGCTCTAGCTGCAGCCTTGCTAAAATGGCTAGCTTATCCGTCAATGTTGTGCCAAGACTTGTTACCGGTGGCGAAGGAATTGATAAACAGGATTTTGCAACAGAAAGACACTGATAGTTATCACGTCGGCGACAACACTGTTCCGAACGAGTTGCTCCTTACGCTCAGCCACAGCAACAACCATATTCGAATCTACACAGAACTCGTCCGCAATCTATACTCTCTGGAGAGTGATGTCGAGTCTTGGTTGGAGAATTTCGCGCTCGCACCGGTCGATCTCGGTTACATGTGCAAATTGATCCTATGCGGGATCTTCTTGCACAGCAGCGAGTTCCGCGTCGTGCAGAAATCCTGCCAGATTCTTGTGAAAATGGTCCATGAAATCAACTCCTTCGCATCGCACATGCTGTCCTTACTGCTGCACAAACTGACGAAAACCAACGACAGCGTTACGTCCAAATATCTGCTGCTGTCTCTCCCGGAATTTGTCGTGTACAAAGAGAACTTGCGGATCGTCATTCACACATTGAACTCGCTATTGAGCAGCGATAAGTCCCTGCAATACTTCGCGGTTCAGCTGTATGTAATGACATTGAAAAAGGAACCACGTTGCCAACGTTTTGTGTCCGACGCGTTGATAGATCTAGCCAAGGAGAGTGGCCACAGCTGGCACTCGGATGTAGCATGCGCCCGGGCGATAAAGTACGTCTGCGAGAGCCGGCCTGAACTCTGCACGGACTTCGTGCCGCTGCTGTCTCAGATCTTGAATCGCTGCTACGACTTGAACGGTGGCGCGGCCAGTGCGCTCGCGCTCGACAGCATCTCGTTATTGTGCGAGGCTGCTATAATAGGTACTTGAGAACTCTTATTTTCATATGTTATCATATGTATCACACTTCTTTATAAATCACCAAAGTTCTTCTCTCGTAATTAACATAGACCACGATTTCGTTTCACAGGTGTTTGTTCAACGTGGAAGTTGTTGGCACCGAAAATGCGTAAGGAGAAGCGCACGGTAATCTTGGAAAGTCTCTGCGGCCTCTTTACGGACGTTCCTTCCTTCCCATTCAAGTCAGACGACGACTACGAGAGCTTCTTCGTCGATGTGGTGCCGCTTCTATGGAGCTACGTGGTCGGCCGGGACATGAGGGTCGCAGAGTCGGCGCTCAAGGCGTTGAAGTCCTACTCCTTCGCGCGAATTCCCTTAAACGCTTTGCCGCTGGAGTTTCGGTCGAATGTCACGTTACCTCGCGTGTACTATGAGAAAGCGGCTAGTAAAGACGTCAATCCCGAGGACATAGTGCAATACGTGCCAGGCGCGTGCTGGATACAGATGTTGAAGAACATAAACAGAAGCATCCTGACGATGGCCGGGGATCTCCTGATCTCCTATATCGAGGAAGAATTGGGCACTTACAAGTCGCAGATATACAATTGGCCGCAAGGAGAACCATGTAATTTTAAATACTTGCCGGAGAGAAGTGTGATCAGGGCAGTCGGCGAGCATTTAAGACGAAGCAATCCGTCGGACCCGAGTGAGCAGAGGATTGTTGTGGAATGTATGCGTATATTCACTCACAAGTACACGAAACCATTGCCGAATGTGCAGTGGGAATTTCTAAGTAAAGCCATGCAGATCTCGGAGGTAGCCAAAGAGTACGGTTTATCTATTGCGAGCCGTCATTCGTACATTTCGTCGTCGGCAAAACTTCTGGTGGAGAATTGCCTATCGAAGTACAGGTCGCCGAATTTCAAGTCTACGTCGGACGTGGGCATGTTGTTATTGAATGAAAAACATTTGGTGTTTTACACGAATCTGCACGAGCTGTGCCAAGCCTTCCCGCCGAACGACTTGAAGCACTTCCTCGAGGCTTCTCTCGATTGCGTAGTCGAGAAAATATCACTCAACGACGAGAAAGCGGTCGCTTCGTTTGATCGTATCATGTCTTCTTACGCGACGGTTTTGAATAGCGACGCGACACACTTAGGCAATCGCACGCTACTGTATACCATACTGAAGAACATCTTCCAAAACATCGATTTAACATCGAACCATTTCCACAAATATTTCACAACCGTGATGGAATTGTCGGTCGAAGAAGTAGAACGAGTGACATCGCCTAATATCTGGTGGGAAGGAACGCCAGAAAAGCTGAGGAACGCTATAGTTGTTAGGGTCGAATTGGCCTCGAGGAAATTTAGCGAGATGCCTCTCTCTTTGTTGAATGAACCTATCGACGTGGTTGCGTCCAGTTCTACAGAGTAAGTGTTGTGAGGTAGTAAGAAGTAGTTACTACTAACTCTTGATGCTCGCTTCAGTTTTTCAGTAAAAATGAACATTATTCTTTTTACTTTCCCGTAGGATGCAGAAATACTTATTGGAAGGTATGCAGAAGGTGCTGGCCGAATTGAGATCGGAAAAGTACTGCGTGGATTGGATCGTGGAATTTATGAGTCGTATCAACACGCTCATGTTGGAGTCGCCCGACGAAAAAGACAAGATCGCTTTTTATTGTGACATTTTATTCATCTCTGTTATCTGCTTGTCCGGTATGGACTGTCTTCTGTCGAAGAAAGAATTACTAAGTGCTTCGCAAGATTTCAGGATACGATTGTTTCCGCAAGCGATCTTGATGCTCGTTAACAAACAAATTTGGAAATCCACAACTCGTCAGGTATTCATCTTATTTACTTTACGTCTTTTGTTCAACTAAAAATATCTTATATATATATATATATTTTTTTTTTTTTTTACAAAGCTACTTATACTTAATCTCACATGTTCTTAACAACTAAAAATGTAATCATGTCGTAAAATTGAAATTGCGAAGAAGTTTTGTCTTCGTTGCGAAACTAACGATACACATCCATCAACATAAGTACAGATTGTTAATTGTATTAATTCTTTTTTTAGATCATGAATTGGCTGAATCACATGAGGATCAGTTCCGTACCTGATGTGTATAGACTTGCGTTTCAAAGCGCGTTAATCTTATTAAGGCATGAAAAAGACTATATCTTACAATGGACAAATTATCTGTCCATTAAAACTTGCATCCCAACATAACTATACATATGTATAACTAAATGTATTTACAAGAGATATTTTTGTATAAAAAAAAGGGAAGATTATACGTTCAGTGAATTAACTTCTTTTTTTTCGCATTATTCAGCCTTGTACTCGATTAAGAATATTAAATCCTCCTAGATAGAACTGCAATGGAAAATTATGGACATATCCGACATCCCCTAATCAAACATCTACGTTCTTCTATTAATCACTAACAAAATAATAATTATATCAAGCCTTGATAGGCATATATATACACTTAGGTCCGTATATCCTTATTGTGTTAATTAATGCTCAATTCGTTTAATTGTTATAAATTTTTCTATGTTCAATATATTATGTATTATATTTTTCAACAATATATAACGTGTAGAAAAAGATAACCCAACCGTCACAGTCAAAAGATAAACATTCAAAAAACGTGAAAACTTTCTATCTTTCTGTTGGTTTGAATGTTTTCCTGAATTTTGCGTTAAAGATATGTAGATTTATGCGATCGAGCGTATATATATGTATGCTATATTGGACTAAGAGTCAATCACACGGAAGAGAAGAAGAAAATTTCAGTTAATCGCGATTAGTAATTACCGGCTTAGTTGTTACCATACAGAGAATCACAAGCGATAATCAAGCGACGCGGTAGCGTCGCGACGCCAAGTACATAAAGACGATAAAATAATGTTTTAAAAAATCTACTAATAACTTCTTAATTCGATAATTACTGTGCTCTTTTGTTTATATACATCAGTACTTTTTAAAATATTTTACAAGCGCAATGTCGATGTAAAGAATACGAAAACGCTACTTTATAAGGCTCTCCGATTTGTATAGATATAACATAATATAAATATAAATTTTCAAGAAATCGGAAGAAACTCGTATTCGTTCATTTTCTCTATAAAATATATGTTATGTACGATAATACTCATATTGAATAAAGTAGCGAGCACAGGTGCGCTTGTTGTAAAAGTGAAAATGCATATTATATAACGATCCCTAGCTAAACTATTTTTCATCATTCTTCACACATAGTTTCCATACGTATTACCTCAATATGTGTCATACCTATCTACAATTTTCTCGTCACATATGTTACATGTGACGACACTCATAATGCTACACGGATGTCTCGCTGTTGTCTAACGTCATTACTGTTAAAGTGTTGGGTCTCGAACCAGTCAGGATCTGTTCCTCAGGTGGACGCATCCTAGGCTCCAGGATATTTCTTTTTGTCTCGATGCTCTTCTTGATTGGTGTACGACTAGGACTGGACTTCCTGCTGTTCGGGTACGACTTTAACAAACGTGCCCTGAACAATCAATAAACATTTGGAATTATCAACTCTGCCAAGTTCCTATTCCTTTCATCATATATATTTGAAACCAAAGTTACTGCTAAGATTTCTGGACTTACTGCTACAGAACCTTAAATATTTTCTAAGTCCGTTGGAAACCGCCATAATGAGCGGTTAAATTTTTATTTATACATTTTTTTTATTTGGATGATATCATCCGTGTGAAATCAGAAAAAAATTTTGTATTAAACAAAGAATAGTTAAATAAAATTAACACATTTAAAAAAGTATGTTAGAGCCATTTTATCTTAGGAGAAGGTAAATTTGCTAAAACATAACAAAATTTTCTACTATCTTGTTATAAGGTCAAGCAGTTATTCAACATATATGTGACTGAATTATTGCTGAATCATACATACGCATCCATTAACTTGAGGAACAAACGTGTGTATACTTGGTATTCTTCGTCACCAAATTCAGTAGGATCATGTCTTGCATGCTCATAGAGATCACAGAACTGGTGAATTAAACGCTGGCCACTTCCATTTAACGGTGTGGCAAGTGTGGTGAGTAGATACGCTCTGAGATTTTCAGAAGGATGTCTTTTCAGACAGCTGTCGTACTTTGTAATCTCTGACTCTGCAAATATATTTGATAGAAGCCAGAGCTCTCAATCTGACATGACAATAAAGCAGCTTACCTAAACTTTTTACATCGTCAACTGCTTTCAGTCTGTAATAATGTGGTGGAGCTTGACCTCCTGAAGTCAGAATATATCTAGGATCACTGATGAGTTGTGGTTCGTACTGGATTCTAGGTATTACCTCTATTCTCCTTTCTATTTCCTTCTTTAAAGACTGTAATATGAAATGCAGTAGTAGATTTGTACTTTTTCAAAGAACTTTCTGAACTAATGTACTGGTGCAGTAAGTTAGAGTGAAACAAGTAGATTTCATTTTACTTATCAGAAAAATGTTCGAAAAAAAAAAACAGACTTGTTGATTAAACAACAACGCAGTGGCATAGTATTAGGTTAACCTCAAAATCATTGTCGAAAACTCACCTTTTTCGCATCGTGTCCTATAGGAATATGAGGACCTCGACGGGATCTCAGGGCGAACCTCATGATTTGACGTTTTGCGAAAATGAATAGTAATAATATCGTCAAAACGCCTGCTGCTATGAATATCACTATGGTTACACCGGAGAGTTCCTGCGACATTTTTGTACAACAATCGACGAGCTTCGCTTCAGTAAATTGTCAGAAATGCTTTCTTTTGCTAAGAAAGAAACATATGCCGTGTCGAATTAATCATATAAACTCCACGACACGAACTTGCAAATAGAAAAATCTACACCGCACTGATTAGCGTACAGAGTCGTATCTCGCGCGCGTCGCCATGAACCCAAACGAAACACTTTATCTCATAGCTATATTTATACATTATGCTTTTGAATTTTTAAGATAACAGAAAACAATTCACTTAAACAATACTACTTTAATGACTGCAGTTTTGTATTATTTGTCGCTACCAAATTACCAATACCGAATTTCAATAAATATACTTTGCAAAATATAACTAAATTTATATTAAAAAATTAATTTTTTTGAAAAAATCAGAAGTCAAAAACTTTTAAACCAATTATTCAGAAAATCATTTTTACTGCAAGAATAAATATTTTATCTTTTTTTTAGACAAGTGATTTAACATATATATATTTATATATTTTAAAATTATATGATTTAAAATTATATATTCCGTAAGATACTTTCTATGGCTTTTTTGAATAATGTTTCATTTATGGCGGCTATCTCGAGCATTAAATTTTTTTGCTCTTCAGAGAGTATTGTATTAATTTTTAAAAACGACAGTATGAGTTTCCCGAAGTTCTTATCTTTGGAGTAGCAAAGTGCCTTTTCTGAGAATAGTTTTATAACTTTGCTAATCATGTCATGGTCGAGCTTTATAGATAAGAAATTTTGCAAAACAGTTATATGCCATGGCTTCAGTTCCTCGACGAATGTAAGGAACTCTCTGCAAAGACATGAAATATTTCTTGTTAGATGTGTTTACTATTTCTAAAATGACTCAAATAGAACATAGCAAGTTTATATATGCAATAGTCACTTTTACAATCATTATAGATAAATGCTAATCTCAAAATTACTAAAACCTGTAGTGTTTTATAATAATCTCAGAAGAGAATCAAGAGATGATTGAATTAATAATAATAACGCAATTATAGAACGTACTCTAAGAGCACCCTTTTTTTTCCTTGTTCAAATGTGTTTACAATAGTAGAAATTAATGTTGTGTCTTTCAATTCAGCATTGAGAACAGGTACAAATATGAACTGCTGTATCTCATTGGGAAATTTTTTAACACATTCACCGATCGCGGATGACAGTAAACGAGATGGTTCTTCCAACTGAATAATCTGTGACCACAGTTTAAAGAATAATTAACATATAAAGTATGAGATCAATTGATGATTGCAATTATCAGTATTATATTATTGATTACCTTTGGTAGTAACAAATGTGTGCACAAAATATTGAGATATTTCATTTTCTCCTCAATAGTCATGTCATTCATTGACTGACATATATTATAAATGCCCTTAGAACTTGATTTTTTAGACAGCTCATCCACTAGTGGGACAATATCCTCGTCAGGAAGATTTTTCAATTGGGCAAAATCTAATTTTCCATTATTTCTTTCTAAACTTTCACAAAGAGACTCTAATATATCACACTTTTGCAATGGTGCAGTTGCAGATTTTTCTGCAGTTACTATAGGTTGTACAGTTCGTTCAACTTGAGTGAAATAAAACTGAGTAGATGGTTCTAGCGTTGACTGACTGAATGGCATCTGAACATTACTACCGTTCTCTTTGTCATCATCATTATCACTATCTTCACTATCTTCTGAGGACATTTTTTCTTCGCTCTAAATTAAACAGTTTACACATTAATGTGTGTGCATGTATGTATATTTAATAAATGATACACATACTATTTAAGTAACTTTGCAATAAAATAATTATTTCCACTATTATTTCATTTTCGCAAATAGATTTGCCAATGTTAACATTAAATCCTTCATATCAGACTCGTAATTTTGAGAATTTAATTTATAACAAGCAAAATATCAGTAGTCACGTGAACTAACCTCTCCTGTAATCACCTTCCACATCGGATTAGCCTGGGCGATATTATTCTGCATTTTTTCCTTCATAGATTCGAGTCTCGTTGCGGTTTCTTCTGACAACGTGTACTTTTCGAAGAAAATCTCCCAATCCATATTTTCCCGCAATTGTTCTCTCATATTGCTTAATTTCGCGCATGTTCCGTTCAACATCGTGGCATCAGTGACGTATACGTCTTGATACCTGAAGCTGCTTTCCTTCATAATAAGTCTACGAATACAAACGAATAACATGATCTTCATATAATTTCCCTTCGTCAGAGAATTATTGTCAAAGAAAAGATCGATATTCCTTCTATACTTCTATACAATTTTCAACACCTATTTGTTTTCAACAATTTTTTTGATAGTATTTTTTCGAATCAAGATTCTCAGGAGCTGTGGATATTCTCAGGGCACGTTCGTCCGCTCTGTGAATATTCCCATAGATATTTTAGCAGTCCAATTTCCCAGTTTTCCGCAGTCGTTAGCATTCGCAAGTCAATCGCCGCATGTCTATTATGAAGAAAAGAAGATCCCCGCTGAAGGTCCTTGCGAGATCACGTCGCGTTTCATTGAAAAGAAGAAAAATAAAGTGAGACAAAAGGAACAGAATCCAGAAAGAACAAAAGATCACAAAGATTGTTAAAATGATGTTAAAATGACGAAAAAATCAAATGACGACGAAAATAACAACGAAAATAATGAGAAAACTCACTTTTCAATCATGATTCGATCATTATCTTGTCATTTTGACGTCATCGTGACTGTCTATTCTACTTGGGAAGCGAGTGCACGTCTTTCTTCGCAGTCACTCATGGGCGGTTCGCGCGGCGGCGAGTCAGTCGTTGACGCACAGTGCGCGAGTTCAGTTGTGCAGTAAAGTGCCGCATGTCGATACGCGCGATCGACAGACCATAACAATAGCAACATTTTCGTTGAGCGATTCCATGATCACATCCGCAAGAAGCGTCGATTTACGAGAACGCTCATCCTTCCTCGACGGCAAGGTAAGCTTGTGATTAGATAATAAAACCGTGTATCTTCGTTACTCGTAAGTATCGCCTCGAGCAACGTGAAATCTCCAGATATGTCTGAAAGATATCCGAAGGACGACTGTTTCTTGAATGTTTAAAGAATGTCTCTCGCAAATGCAACGTGAATTCCGGTGATTTCAGGAGATGCCTGCATGTTTTTCGAGAGAACATGAAGATGTCTTCATAGTAAGTCGTAGAGATTTATAATTAAAATACAATTTAATTCTAAATGAGATTCCATTTGGAAGTAGGAAAATAAAAAATAAGGAATATAAGGAATAAGAGAAGAAAGATAAGAAAAATATAATCGCGTCGCAACAAGTTGCGGTCTTTAGAGTAACCCGCACAAAAATTTGTGTCGTGACAATTCACATACGAACGCGCTCAAGAATATGCTATATTTATCCTGAAATTACTAGCGCGATCGATTAACGCTTAAAACGTTTACAAATTGCACTTACAAATTGCTGGCGTTTACATTTCTTTAACGCGACTTTTATATATTCACGAGTAGACGTGCAACTTACACACGTCTTTCTGCGATAACGACATATATTTCGGACATGTAGTGAATGTTCTCTTCTTCCTCTTTCTCCTCTTTCCGTCTGCGTCACGTTCATATCAACGTCACGTTCAACGATCGTTTAAATTCCAACATAGAAATCATCTGCATAACGACAGAGGACGGGATCCATTAGACGCTTTAAAGCACTTTAACTGTATAATGACATCATTAATTCCGTATATTAAAAGGAAAACACTTGGAAGCCTATAAAACATCTAATGGATCGCACCCAGAAAGGGAGAGAAAGAGAGTCGCGGCTGATTTGCATTGCTTGTTATCGTGGCGCGACGTTAATGAGACACGATAACGCGATACGTCACTAATGTAATATCCGGAGCAAACTCGCGCGACCGATTTTGGAAACAGATAAATCGGATAAGCTCGAGGAACCTCGGATTTCCTATATTATTATTATTTGAAAACGCAAACATTACACGTGCTTGCGTAATTATCATTCGCTACGTGTGAATGATCATCCTTGTACAAGTGAGGCTTATATTATCATACATATGACTTCGGTACTTATCACGAGACGCGTGAAAGCATCGTAAGTAACCCGTGTTAACATTACTCAAACTGTTTGAAGCAGTGTAGGTGTTCGCCGGAGATATTGCACAAGGCGTGTTTGAGTCCAGGCTCTGTCACGTAGTAGTTAACGGATTGATTTATTTGCGCGGAGTGGATCATTGAATCGTGATAAGCGGCACATCTGTCACACATTCACCGGGCTAGATCGCGAATAAATCGGAGATCGGAAACAGGCTTCGTTTCGTTGATTCCGGTGATCAATCGACCCCGTCTATTTCCCTATCTGAACGATTCACAACCTTTGTATTAAATGATTATAATATTAAACCGCTATCGTACGAGAATCGCATGTATCGGTGGTAAATTTACTCGCGCAGTCGACCGTGTCGAATCACGTTTCCACCGCGCGAATGGACGTCAACGGAGTCGACAGGTGTGTCCTTTTTAACGGGACCAGGTTGGCATTTCTTGCATTTAAATTTAAACAAGTGTACGATCAAGTGTTGAAAGGAAAAAGAACAAAATTCTAAGATGTGGCATACAGCTGATATCAGCAGAAAAGGTGCTCATGTCAAATATAGCTGATGTTAGCAGAAAAGGTGCTGATGTCAACTATCCGCGTGTCAACGAGTTAATATTAAGTCCTCGTAAATAAAACACAACGTACAGGACGAGATTTGATTAGCAGAAACTACACAACGTCGATGGGGTTGCTTTGTTCTGTATTCCGTGTATCTGCCGCCGCGTTCGCTATCAAATTTATTAGCATCGGCCGCGCACGATATTGAGAACTGGTTTTGCCGCTGGAAAACCCAGATCGCAAGGCCGTTGTTTACGCATGTACGTATTATGAATACGCGCGCGCCTCCGCGTTTGACAAGAGTGGGAGAGAACGCCGTTGTTACTGAACCGCACACAGATGTTCACTGCACTCGCCGGTGACGCGACGAAGTTTCCGATTCACTTGGTGATGTATGAAGAATATTCCTGGGATACCTGATAAAAACAGAACAAACGCGTGTGAGTCATAATCGAGCTCATGATAATTATGTAACGGTACGGTGGGCATAGCTATTCGGGGAGATAAAAACGCTCTAAACGCACTCTAGTATTATCCTCGTGGAATTTAAATAACTCATTGTGTTTGCGTCAAAAACACGCGACAAACACGTCGATATAATGTAACATATGTTCATCCCGAAGTAACGAACGACATTTGAACGAGTGAATGTGGCGTGTTAGAGAAGGCCAGGTCAAGTTGGTCCAGAAGACATATGAACCATCTGTTTTGTCTATATATTTACTGTGCAACAAACAGTTGAAAAAGAATGGCAAAATGTTTCTTTTAGAAAGCACAAGTATTTCTTTTATGTTCTAAAAGGAACATAATTTTTTATGTTCCAGAGAAAACACTTGCGACTTCCTTTCCAATGTTCATTACGATAAACATATAAATGAAATGCATGACCAACTTGATCTAGTCTCCTCTACTATTTTTTCCCTCATTTATGAAACAGCTACGGCTATGAAAAAGCACGTTTCGGAGTTACTTTCTGCCGTAACTGCATGATTACGATTATTACGAAGAACGTGCGCAAGATCGGGAGTTCGGATAACGCTCGGCCACGTATTATTACACGTATCCGTTCGCAGTCCAGTGGTTATCTCTTGGGATGCAAACATTGTAGCGCATTGTTAGACCGTAACATTAGACTATCCGTGTATTCGATTAACAAAACGGCGTTATTAACAGCCGCGGAACGCTGTCTATGTATCGGCCAGGTGTCTCCGCGTGAATACGCCTTGTTCCAATTATTCAAATGATGTTTTTAATATTAAACAGACCGTGTTTTTCCGCGATGAGCAATCGCATAGTCCTCATGAATGTCGTTACGGTCGAACAAGCGGTAGGCAAGAAAAAAATTAACAACACGCATGATAATGTGCGCAAGACTCGCATTCGGCCGACTTATCTACAAAATTTGCTGCGGAACGTGATCGATTTCTCGCCAGCAAATACGAGAATTTACTTAAAACTAAATAACCGATGACCCAGCGAACACAATTTATTGTCCGATTACAACTGCGAAGACTAACACTAAGAGAATGCGCCGCATTTCAAGGAGAGTCTTCTTATTACAGAGCAGTATTTTCGAGAAACAAATTGCTCGCTCGAGATTTTTAGCCGGTTAATTATTTAATAACCCGTGTTATCGCGAATGGCACGATAGCGACAACTGTACCGTTTAATCCACGACAGCGAGAGTCGTCAGTGTACAAATATTATCCCGACAATGGTGCCGAATCGACAATTACTGATATACGATGTAGGGTGTGGCTGCGAACAGAATAGAAAATCGAACTGAATCAGAATCTCAAATCTGCGATATGACTAATATACGTATGAGAATCATTAACTCTCAGTATCACATTGTGGTATTAATTAAACTAGAAAATTTATTCTATAAAAAATATGAAGAAGTAAGTTTCCTTTTCTTGTTTTTGAAATATCTCTAAGGAAGCATAAAAATCATGAAAATCCTTAATTAAAAGAGAAACTGAAAAATTAAATTTTGTTCAGTGTTTGTATTGTATACCGAAACACTGAAGATGATTCCAAAGAAAATCCAAACGTATGTAGATCTCATTATATCAGAGATAATTATTAGATAATTTTTGTTCATAAAACTATTAATTTTTGTATATTTCAATTCAGCAGTTAGCTCTCACAGGTCTATTATTTTAATTTCTTATATTTGAAAAATTGAAATTTATTTTAATGAACCCCAATGATATACTGAGAATTAACATGTACATTGAACGTAGATAATTCGCTTGTACGATGTGTTCATTCGCGAGTTCATTGTCGTTTCTCATGTTGCGACGTCAGTTGCAGAGAAAGTGTATCGTGTAGGGTAACCAGTGTTCTTTGATATAAGTGACGTTCGACTGAAGCGAAGTGACTCACGCATGTGTGGGTCATTATAGTCGTTAATTGCATACATCTATATGATAATACACAAGTTCTAAACAAATAAAAAATCTGTCGTACATCGATACAGCTTTTTCCAGATCAAACGCTCGGGCACTTTTCCTCTCCTTATTGCTAAATGTCGAATGTGTGCATCTGAAAGTACGCCGCTATGCACTTTTCTGTTTATCACAACGGCGTCGAATCTTTATGTAGGTTACAGCTAAGCTGATAACGAATGAAGACTAGACGGGTGTGCGCGTAGCAAAACATAACAAATAGCAACGCTTGAACAAGGACGTCAAATCGACAAAAAGAGGTGCACTTTTTCTCTTTAATTGCAACCTCTGTCTTGCTTTACGTTAAAAAAAAATATAGATAGTCTCGCGATAATATATGAAAAAAGCGTGCCATAATTATTCAGACAACACAATTTACTGAAAAAACACTGATGTTTTAAAGACACTCAAAAGACGTCTCATTTTTTTCAAACGTCTTTAAAGCATCTTCCAGAAATTTGTACTGTCTGAGTAGTCAAGCCGAGAATTAAAATCAGATTAAAACGTTATACTTTCTTTCTCTCTCTCTCTCTCTTGCCGGCTAATTTCACCACTTGAGTTTCATCAAGATATAAACTTTTTATCACAACGGAATTCTCTACAAACACATGTGAGCGCCGAGTTTATCAGTACACAGCTTTATCGCAGAACCGACCGAAACATCCGATCGACGAACGAAATGAGAACACAAATACATACACGCATAGATGTGCACACGATTGCATTGCGTTTTCGCATTATAACCGCAACATGCACGGTTAAAAATACATTGTCGTCTTTAATAGACGTATGCGGAATTGCGTTATCGGTGCAAATAACGCGATTCCGGGAAACGATCGGTTTGCACGGCAACAAAGTCATAACTAAGCGACAGATTTATGCGCTTCAGTAGACGCAGGTGTGTGTACAGGGCACTTCAAAGATTCTCAATGTCCGTTTACAAAGTTGCTAGTTGAAAATCCATCCATCTATCCGTTCATCTATCGCGATATCCGTCGATCCGGACTGACTGTTTCCCACGTTGGAACTCGAGAACGCAGAGATCAGAGATTAGCGAATAATTGACTTAAACGAGTTAGTGTACGAGTTCGTACGAGCGCAATCAAGTGGGATCGCACTGATTACATATCAGTGTAGACAGGAGGCGCGTATCGGCTGATAACACACACGTGCTCGCTCGTTAAGTTAAATGCTGACACAGTGAGTGCGACGCGACTTGCCACTGTCGCGAGCAAACGAGCAGAACGCAAACGGGTACGTCGTCGTCGCGGGTCAACGTAATCTCAAGAACATGATATTTTTGTGCTTACTAAAAACGTGCAGGAAGCGAGTCGTTCTCGGAAATATACGGGATTTCCAGCGAATTTTCCTCCTTCCGCGAGAGAGAGAGAGATCGTCTCCGAGCTGGAACAACGAGATTGTGAAATTTGGTGAAAAGCGTGACAATCACGACGCAAAGGATAGTAGACGTGTACTCACGTATTCCTCAATATGAAAAATGAGCAGACATGACATGAGATATCGGGATTTCCGATGCGCGACTAATGATGCGTATTTTCTTTTTATAGTAACCGTGTCGGGAAAGTTTCTCGGGAAAAATAATAAAATGCTGGAAATCACGCTTCAACTTTAAAAAGATCATTTGTCTCGTTTCACAGTCTGACTTTATAGACCTTGGAGATGTGAGTCTCTCCCAGATGTATCAAACTGGTCGTCTCCTGTAAATTTCTCAATTTTAGAAAATTCAATACTTCATCATGTTCTTTAGTACTGAAATTAAAATTAAACTAAGAAAAGTGTAGATCAGTATTATTGGCTTTCGAAAGACTTACGTGTCAACTGGTAGTTGCGATTCTGGTAAATTTGCTACCTGCAGTAATCCTGACCTGCGCACATTATGACACTTCGAGCACCTGAAGTCTCTTGTATCTTCTTCTCTCTCTTTTCGTCGTGATTTCTTGAATTCTCAATCGAATGCTCTGCGGAAGTAGCAGTCTGTACGGTGCTGCAATTACGATCGAAATCTATATTGCTTATTCGTTTCGTGGAACGATCTACTTGTTTAAAGAGTACCATGCACGCAAGAGCGATACAAGTGCATACATATGCATCTGACGATTGTGCCGGAAGCAGGAGGCATAGGATAGACTATTAGAATCACGAGAACCGCGTAGTTACTTAATCAAAATGCATCGTCTCTGAGGAAAATATTACTACTGCTTATTGGCTGCATCTACATAACAAGGAGAAACAATGAAAGGAGTGTCTGCTTTGACGTTAGTCGTTTCGCTATTGCGCAACAATACATTCGCTATATATATATTAATACATAAATTAACGTAAAGTAAGTCCGAAAGCACGTTATTTACACCGCGTACAGGTAAAAGAAAAATGTTCGCGCTTCGACGTGCATTCAGAAGTATTGAGATAGCTGGATTTCGTTGAGGAACAATAAACATCTCCGAGCTCGCGCTTGTATCCGACTTATTTTCTTTCCTATGTTGAAGAGAAATTGCAAATATGTCTTGCAAATAATTATCAACGCGCAATAATTATATATTGTATAATTAACAATAACAAGAGACATTGATATGTCGGTTAATAGGTAACTTTCTTCAATGGTTATATATAATGCCAATATTAAAAACGATATCCAAGAAATCGAATTAAACGCATACAAAACAAAGATTATTAACAATTATTGTCAAATAATTGTTTCACACAATACATAATTATTGCGCACTGATAACTGCGGTAAGGCTCTTATTTGTAATTTCTCTTTAAAGATCGAATTTGCCTCTGCGAAAGCTGCATTCAATCATTAAGGCAACTTATTTTTGTTTGAAGAGCGACATTAACATTACGGGGAGAGAAGAATACAATCCCGTCCTGATCCTCGAATCGCGAGGTAAAACCTTTTAACGTAAGAATATTATTTCCAGGCACGGCGAGCGCTTAAGAAAATGCCGATTCTCTCTGAGTTGTCGCGTCGGTTTCAAATGTTAACGACAGACGCGAAACCGGATCCGCCGCGCACCGGTATCCCCAGTTACACGCACAATCTGCCGCCGACGGAGGACGAAGAGACGAAGAAAAGATCAAAATCGATGCCCACCACGCAGAACGAATTGCACGCGCACAGAAACGACAAGGACGACGATGGCGTCGACGTGACGGCGTCGATGCGACGACAGAAATCGGTGCCGAACGACGCAACGCCCACGAGAGATTTCTGCGCGAAAGCGGAAGACCTCGGTCACACAGGACCGACGAACGAGTCAAAGGAGTACAAACGATCGAGGACGCGAACGAAAGCGAAACATGGTAAATATTGTAAGTATAAGAAAGATATCGCCGCGCTTATCGTGAAAATTACGCACGGAAAAAGAATTTCAGTTCGTGTAACTATATGTGGAGCAGACGAAAAACTCGTTGATTCGCCTGAACATTCAACTGCATTAAAACTCAGTTGAGGTAATTGAGAGCAATTGTAGCTGAATAGAAGCCTTCTACAGAAATCATTCTGTTCTTAAACGGAATATTTCATCTGGTTCCTAGATAACAGAAAATTCAGTTACACTAACGGAGTTATTTTTTCCGTACTATAATTACTGTTAGGAAGAATTCTGAACGAAAACAATTATCGTATATCTTCGAGCGCAGAGAAGCTGTAATACCTATATTAATAAACATTACTCGAAACTCGTTTCTTTTAAGCGTTAAGATTAGGAAATTAATTTTTGTTGAAGATTCGAGATTACTATAGATAGACCTTGTCTTATCTCATAATTGCTTTCAATTAGACGTTCTTCGTTTAATCATATCGAATGTCTGTTGTCTTTTTTTCAAATGTTTGATTTATAAGAGAAAAATTCAAGGGAACAAAATGTAACTCGCCAAATATAGACGCAAGGTTGCAAAGTTACTTTGTTCAGGAAAGACACTGATAATAGTTCAAAGCAGTGCGACATGCAATTTTCTCGACTGACTCGTAAACGTTATCGCAAATTCCTCTGCGCTTGAATGTCTTCCGCAGTGTTCTATGCAATGTTTGTTTTTCTCATTGGACTTCTCATAGGAATTACGTTAACGAGGAAGGGAAACATCTCGTTTTCTACTTCGCAGAAAAGAAAGAGATATTCTCGCTTCTTGTCGCGCGAGTTATATTACGCGATATTCAAGAAGACAAATAACGGTTTTTTGCAAATTTATCAGTCTTTTAAAATTCTTAAAAATCAATTTGCAGCGCAAGGCACAAATGTCGTGAATTACAACATTGTCAACTCTAATGGGGTGAAGATTGGCTCGCGGACGAGCTACATATGCAATGTAAATCATTACGCGACGAACAATAACACGACGGCGCAGTCTGAAGCTTCCTGGTCGAAGCCGAAGCACCGGCCGATGTCGCCGAACGTGGAGGAATTGAGCGCGTGCGACGAAGAACTAGCGTTCGACGATATGATCACTATCAAGACGCACGTTGGACATGGCTGGAGGGACGTTGCGAGGAGGCTGTCTTACTCGGACGGTCAGATCGAGCAGTTCGAAGAGAATTACAGACACAATGGCATCGATGAGGTAATTAAGTTTCGCATTTTTAAAACTGGATATTCAATTCTAAATAATCTATCGACGACCTTTCCCTGCATTGATCGACAACCCTGTTCTGTCTGACGATCAAACAAATATATTAAAATATGTTAAAAAAACATGAAATACTCCAAAAATCTTTGAAATTCCAGTTTAAAAAATCGGCGTACCTAAAATTAATAAGTATGTTGCACTCGAATTTACGAATATTTTCCGCTTAGAAGGTAAATATCTCAATAAACCAATAAGCACGATCCGTAATTAATGAAATTATAAAGAAACCTAACGTTTATATACAATCCTGGTTATCAGCGAAATAAAAAAAAAAAAAAATCAATAAATATCAATTATAAATTTTAATGAGATATATTAATGAGATTATATTAGATAATGCCAGTTGTATCAGTAACTAAAAAATGAATCATGTCCTAAATATAGATTTAGTAATTAATCATTACATGAATGATCATTAAATAATATTACAGAGACATAAAAAAGAAATTTTTCTTTTAATAAAATTTCAAAGACTTTTAGAAATATTAAATACAAATATATTTTTAATGTTTCAATCATTAGGACAAGGTTTAATTATTGGGACATTTACTTTATATATCGTAAATCCCCGAAATGCATCTTAGTTATAGTGCTGAATCACTAAATAACATCGATTCTCATCTATATACAATGATTTTAGGTGATATATCAGTTGCTACTCGATTGGAAGCAAGCTAATACGCAAGATGCCCGACTAGGAACGTTAATCAGCGCATTGTGGTCTTGTCAAGAGTACGACTGTGTTGAGCGGCTAGTCGCAACTCGTAAGGTTCCCTCTTAGTTGCGACCTGGGGAATATTCGCGTCTCCTGTCTGATAAACATTTGTACATACGTACGCGATCAATCGCGATTTTTTTTACTCGAAATAGTATTCCAATTATTTTTTTACGTATCGCACATATACTCTAGCACGCATTTACATATATGCGTACGGTCACGCACATGGTATCGCGAAGGTCGTTTTTATATTCGTTCTATGTAATTTTCATTACACCGAACCGGTCGAAAGAATACTGAATGAACAGCATATTTGACCTTCGTCTGATTTAGTACTGTATAGAATTTCAATGAGGGATTCCCGGTAGTTCCCGAATGGGAACATGATCTGGTTAATAATATTCGGACACTTCGCGATACCTACGCATATGCATAATCATCATTTACACACACATACACACTTTTTGTTACTTATCCATATAATCTATACTGTACAATCTAGAATAAATATATACTGCGATTCTCTGAAAATTACGGCTTATTTATTTTTATTTAGTATAAAATGAATTCATGTACTCTGACATACACATTTATCGTTATTTAAAATTCAAGCACGCACGTACATACATTTTACATCATATTATATATATAATTATATCTATAAATGTAAAATTATATAAATATATAATTATATATATAATACATACAATTTTTGTATGAAATATATGTTTAATCGCATTTTTCGTCTTACTATCTTCAGGTGTTTCATAAACAAGAGATGTTACAAATTATAAAGAATGTCTGGCTATGCTCAGTGTTTCAATAATTAATTTCTTTTTTGCCATATTGGATTTTAAATTTTTATCGTCTTTCTAATTCTTAATTTACATCGTCTTTCCGAATTGATAATACAAGAAAATAGTTAATACTAATATTATTTTGTACATATCATCGTTATTAAAAGAAAACTACGTTTAGTGGAAATAATTTAAATGCAAATTAATATTAAAATGCTTATATATATATATATATATATATATATATATATATATATATATATATAT